TTCGTCATGGTTGTGTTCGGCCCTGTGTCGTTTTCAACCTTGTCGTGTTTGCTGAGAGGTGACAGCGGTTGTCGTTATTACACTCTTTCCTTTCCATCAACGAGAGTTGCAACCTACTAGGCGATTATACCTAGGCGAGGTGGCTGCTTGATACCGCGAACGTTGGAGAATACCGGACGAGACAGCGAAGGACTGTGGTCAGCCGGATAGGGGGACTGAGGGCGTAAGGTGGCCAGTATATGGAGGACTAAAGAATGAGTGATCAGACTTCGCAGAGGAAGTCCGACGAAGGGACTTCTAGGCCACCGACGGAAGGACGGAAGTGTTTCAAGTGTGGGGGAGATGGGACACTTTGCCAGAGATTGCGCGGATTACTGGCAGGCGAAGGCCCTTGGGCGGACCTTTGTACCATCTTCCTTCGGACCGAGTGGCGGAAGGACAGGAAGGACGGCTGATCAAGAGAGTATCGTGAGGAGAAGCCGGTCGGCGGAGAGTGGAGATGGGCGCACGGAAATCGACGATACTAGTATGCTCATGAGGGAGTATCTTGTCGCCATGGCGCAAGAAAGGCGGGACAGGATTGAAAGGGAGGCGACCGAGGAACGTCGAAGATTGGAAGAGGAAGCAAGATTAGAGAGAGAAAGGAGGCGCGCCGAGAAGATGAAGGAGAAACAACAATATGAGGAGGAACGAGATGCAAGACTACTGAGTTTGATCGACATGAAGATGAAGAAAGAAGAAGAGGTGCGGCGAGGCAGAAGTGGCTGGAAAGGGCCGGTAGTGCACAAGACTAACGAGTATGGGGAAACAATGGAGGAAGAAAAAGAGAGATTGAGGCGGATGATAGCGTCTTGTGAAGAACGGGAAGTCGATGATGAGCTTCCACTATTACGGAAACAAGCAGCGAACCTGAAGATTGCCGACAAACGGAATCGGGGACCGGAGGGACCGGTGGGTAATAGCCCACTGGTTATGACGCCTGAGAAAAGGACGAATGTCAAACTATCGGAGGACTCGAGGAGGAGGATTGAGGAGTTGCGAAGCAATAAGAATGAGGAACCGCAAACATCAGGGATGTCGAGGAAAATTGACTTGACACTGAAGCATATCTCTACTGCGTGTGGGCCGGGAGGGAAAGAAAAGTACGAGGTTGAAGTCCGGGATTTTTACGATGCGCTCACCATTGACGAATTGAAGGAGGTGTGTCGGATGGAGAAGGTATGCTACGAAAATCGGGAAATGGCAATCAAGCGTTTGGTGATACGACGTGTGGCAATCGCATATAATGCAGCATATCTTCCCCTGCCGGCGACTCCAAGGGTGATTACGAGGAGCGTTAAAACGGGAGAGACAAAAGCGGGGGTCGAAAAGAAGAAACCATAAGAGAAGCCGGAAACGGGCGAAACTGAGGACGAGTACGAATCCGATGACAGCGAGTGAAGAAGTCGGAGAAGTAAGAAGCTGTGGGATCTAGCCAAGGATATCAGCGAAAGAAGACGGGGGAATGGAGGTAAGAATAAAGATGATGATAGGCTCTTCCGATTAGTTACAATCAAGTTGATTTTGGAGGGGGAAGTGAGGTGGGGGGAAAAATTCGTAGGATACTTGGAAGAGGAACTGAAGAAAGGGAGTCTTGATCTAGGTCGACCGGGGGGGTGCGTTTATATTTTGATTTCGCCATGGTACAAACCAGTCTATATTGGTATGACCGAGAGGCAGCTGTGGGCGAGATGGCGGGAGCATGCATGTCTCGGGGGAGGTCGGGGGGATAAGGGGAAGCGAACACTGTACAACTGGCGCGGGAAAGTGGGAACTCATAAGTATGTAGCGATACCAGTTTTCTTCAGTGGAGTGAGGAAGGAACTGGAGGCGGTGGAGCGGACCTTAATCAGAATTTGGTCGCCGAGTTTGAATTCTCGGGGTCCACGGGGAAGGAGAACCGGCGGGAGAGGTAGGAGGAGATTAGGGAGGAAGGAACGGGAGAAGAAGAGGAACGGTAGGAGTAGAAGCGAGCCTACGAATAGGAAAAGACCAAGGAAGATTGTGGAATTGAAGAGGAAAGGCGATTCTAGTGGCACCGTAGGTGTAGTAAATTTTCTTAGGAAGTTCAGGGAGGAAGGGGTAAAAGGGGACACTCACCTGGAATCTGGAGGTGGTAATGTGTGGGCAAACGGATGGAGGCTAGTGCGAAGATTGTTCGGAGAAACGAGGGTTGGATGTGGGAAACGGACGCAGCCATTGAGGAAGTGTAAGAAGCTTCTGGAAGGCGGGGGTAAGATCGTTGTTAGACGGATTAACGAAGCCTCTCCAACTATTCTACATCGACGAGACCAAATGGTGAAAATGTTCAAGAATCCGAAACGGAAGAAGAATTTGAAGTCCCTGCCCCTCACGGAATTATTGAAGTACTACAGTGCCATTAAGTCGTTTACAACGAAGCGGAGTAGGACGACGGCGCGATGTATGATATCCCAGACCATCAGGAATGAGCACGGCTTGAGCGTGAGACAGAGGGTAATTGTAAGAATGAAATTCGACGATCGGATAAAGAAGAGTGAGGTAACAAGGATTACGAGAAGGAAGATAGGGGGATTCAAGATCAAAGGAACCTTTAAGGAGATGGTAAAACGAAGAACACGTGTGGTATGGACTAGGTGTCCTAATGTGGGGGAGCTAATCCATAACCACCGGCGCTATGCGTCGCTGCGTGTGGCCAGCTGCACGTGAGTTTCCGTATAGGCGATCTTGAAGGCATCCCGGAAATCGTGAAGAATGCCAAGAACGTTCCGAGGCACGAGACTCAGGCGAGGAGAGAAGCACTAAAAGGAGAAATAGAAGAAGCGTTCAGGGTATTTGAGGAGAAGTCTGGGATCAATGGAGGGAAGGTGGAAGTTACCAGGGGGGAGATCGAACAGTGCTTTGGAAAAAAGATGAATGAAGGGAACGGTGGGAGCATCGAGGAGGTGTTGATGGTGAAAGAGAGGCTCAAGGGGTTGGTGTTATCCCCTTTGGACAGGAATCCGGGTGACACTTTGGTTATGTGACCGACAATATATTCAAGAGGGATGACAACTACCTTGTTAGAGAACGACGGATATCTGGAGTGCGAGGAGGAGGAGGGTGTCGTGCTGAGGTCGGCAGGCGAGGAATATAAGCGGAGGCAGCTTGAGGAGCACGGGAAGTGGAAGGCGGGAGGAAAAGTGGGGCAGGCGTATGCATTACCTAAGCATAAGGATACGGATAGATTTTACCCTATCTGCCCTACCTTTGACGAGCCGTCTGCGAAAGCATGCAAGAAAGTCTCGCAAGCTGTCAACGGACTGTTGTTTGCCTTGCCAGAATCGGACCATTTTAGCCTTCGTGCAGTCTCGTTGATGAAAGAGAAGATGAACGGAATGAATGATAGATTAGTGAGATCGAGTACTCATGTACGCGTGCTGGGAGTTTCGTATGATATTAAAGATATGTTCAATAAGCTCCCGCACGAGACAATTGTACGGGCTGTCGAGTGGTGTATTTGGTATTTCTCTCAGAAAGGATTTGATGAAATTTTTGTGAAAAGAACAGGGCGCGGTGTGAAATTGAGTAGGACTGAGGTGGTCGAGGGTTATGTGAAGATCTCTTTCCGTTACATAGTCAATTTCGTGTCTTTTGAATTGGAGTTTTGCTTTACTCGTGCATGCGGTGTGTTGTTGAGACAGACCGTAGGGATCCCAATGGGAAAGAGCTCAAGCCCCCCATTGGCATGTATAATGTGTGCAAAGTCCGAATGGGACTTCTTGTTGACGCTTGGTAGTCAGAGAAGGCTGGTCGAAGGGCTGAGATTCGTCGATGATGCGTCCATTTTTGTAGCATACAATCCACGAAAGGCCGGATCGAAAGATAAGGCAAAGGAGATAATCAGGAGATTTGAAGGATGCTATGACGAGGCGTTGGCATTGAAACGCACAGATGAAGGAGAGAATGAGTGGATGTTCCTGGGATGTAAACTGACAATTCGGGAGGATTTTTCGTTCATTGGCATTGTGCAAAGTATGAAGAACGATGTGGAATTGCGGCAGAGGGCGAAATTGCCTTTTCGGGTGTTTCAGGATTTAAACTCCTAGACGAGTAAACAGACGAAGATGGCCGTGATTACCAGTGTACTACACCAGATTTATCAGAATTCCGTCAATAGTATGGAAGTTCTTGATACATTGATACTTGTGAGAATGGAATTGCGGCGTGATCATTACCCGGAGGATTGGTTTGGCCGGGCGCTGAGAAATTTTACAAAAGACAAGAATGACATATGGAAAATGTTCACAGTACTGATGACGGACAGTAGGATATTAGATTAGGAGAATGATTCGATTCTCAGTTTCAATTGGACCAGAGAATACTCTTTATGGACTGTTCGAAGTTTAGTTTTTTGTTGTGCGTATGCTTAGGCTTGTTGGGACCAGAGAATACTCTTTTAAGACTGTTTGAAGCTTAGTTTTTTTGGTGTGTATGTTTTGGTGTGTATGTTTAGGCTTGTTGGGACCAGAGAATACTCCATTAGGGCTTGTAGTAGGGGATATATTTCTTTTGCTATAGGGAGCCTCTCTCCATCACTTCCGTAGTTACCGGGCCGTGGGAGGAACCGGGACTGGGACTCGTTTGAGGGGCCGTAGGGAGAGAAGGAGGGAGTCTGGGATTAGTGATCTTTCGGATATAATCAGAAAGACGGATGAGTAGGACCTTTTCGGTCTGTAGGACAATAACGCGGTTGGAGTAGTTGCCGTTCCGTAGGCACATGCTGACCGAGCGGATAGACTACCTTCCGCTATGCTTGGGCTTAACGTGTTGACCACCGGGTTTCCCTGGGAGTTGACAAATTTTTTCCAATGCATGAACAGCGTCTTTTTCGTCATGGTTGTGTTCGGCCCTGTGTCGTTTTCAACCTTGTCGTGTTTGCTGAGAGGTGACAGCGGTTGTCGTTATTACACTCTTTCCTTTCCCCCCTACTGAAAAATCCAATTGGCCTAAGAATAGAATTTTGAAAATTGAGATACCAGGGCCATTACCCGACTTTGGATCAGAGAATGTCTATGACAACTTCATGATTCAAAAACGACTCAGAAGAACCCCCATCCATCCACTTTACCTCCCTCCGGCAAGACTGACTGCAGCGGAGCCACCATCTCTGCTGCTGCTATACCATACTCCCATCCTACCAGCTAGCCCGCTCACTGGTAAGGACGCGTGGTAACCCACCATCTTCTCCCATTCTCCTTATTCTCTTCTTGTGTCATTACCATTTTTGTACAGAAATAGGCAAACTTCAGAAGACAACTCAGAAACCCCCCTTCAATCCTCTTTACCTCCCTCCGGCAAGACTTACTACAGCGGAGCGACCATCTCCACTGCTGCTGACCCTATTTCCATCCTACAAGCTAACCCCCTCACTAATAGGACGCTTGATATCCAACCATCTACTTATCCCACTCATCCCTTTTCTGAGAAAATTCAAGAAGATTTCAAGAAATTAAGAAAAAGAAAATTAGGGAAACGAAAATCAGAGCTGAAACCTCCACCGTTTTTTGGGACCCACCATCAATCCTCTTTCACCTCACTCCGACACGACTTACTGCAGCAGAGCCACCATCTCCACTACTGCTATGCCCTATTTCCGTCCTACCAGCTAGCCCCTTCACTAGTAGGACGCGTGGTATCTTTCCTCACTCACCTCAATCTCTTTTTTGCAGTACCGGGGCCATCACCCGGCTTTGGCTGAAAACCCTCTGGGAAGGTATGGTAACAGACTGCAGAGGTCCTACTAATGCCCCAAGACCCGAGAAATCCCTGACTAAACCTTCCCTAGTTCTCCAGCGTTGTCTTACTCCCTGCCGAACTCTTCCAGGCCTCACACCCCCTCATCCTGCTGGGTCACAGGGTAACACAACTCACCCCAGCTCCGGCCAGCGTCGTCCCAGCAGCAACCCTTGGGTGTCCCGTGGAGTGCCCACCCCAAAGCACCCCCTGATCTCTCTACCAGGCCTCATGCTCCTGCATCAGCAGGTTACAGGGCAACACCCCAGCACCGGCCAACGTCCTTCTGTCATCGAACAGCCGCAGGTCACCGAGTATAACAGCCTCGAAACTACATAAAAAAGAGTTTATCAGGAATCCCCAGAATCCAAAAGACATTTTTAGGACAAAACAGCCATCCGCGTATGGCCCACCCCCCTTTTTTAAGAACAGATTGCAACGTTTTTTTTTTTCTTCTGAAAGTTCAGAGAAATCTAAGAATTTTAGTAACTCCCTATGACCATATTCAGAAAATATTCAGAAGCAAAAGAAACGAGATACGAGGGCAAACGATCAGGATAGAATAGGACTTGCTAAGCAAAAGAAGGGAAGGTGGAGGCCGTCAGTCCTCGTACAAAAACGCGGCGGATCTCAACCCCCCTCGTACTAGGGTGA